AAATGAACACACATTATATCTTTGCTCCCCATGTTTTCATTATGTTCCAATACTTCATAATAAGTATGTCATTCTATTTTGTAGTTTATGATGAAATTATATATATTTCAAGTATAAACAGACACTTATTTACACGAAATATAATAGATTTACTTAAATCCGTCTAGTCAGCCTAGACGCCCGCCTTGGCCCAGCCTAGCCGCCTAGGCGCTAAGCCCCAGCCAGCTGCCCGACTAGCGCCTAGCGTCTTTTAGAACCTTAGCTATAATATAAATATACCTTCTAAATATAACTTAATTTTTTTTCTAATTAAGCCCATTATTCTCAAGATATATCCAAGAATATCCAACAAGTTCTTACAACCAAATATAGCTTTACCTGTAAGCATCGATCAGCCAATCAAACACAAAATTTGAGATGAAGACATATGAATTTGATGCAAATGTTTGGGAGATGAACAAATTTGAGATGAAGATATACAGTACTGTATTTTGGAATATGTAAAAATGATTTCAGAATTGCTTGGGGTTGCTTTGATTTTTAGAGAGATGATCGGAGCATTGTCGAAATCTAAATCAGAAGCTAATACGCTTTTCTATGGAGCTTTTGCAGTGGGAGTTGTGTCATCACTTAGATGTAAAACATAAGAAGCATAGTGAACATAAAAAATGCGGATATTAAAATCAAAAGGCATTAGATAGAGGTAAAATACACTTCCATTCATACGTACGCAATAATGCCACCACGACACTACAAATGATAGAAAATAAACCTTGTCAAAATTCACTTCCATGTTAGGTCATAATTTTAAATAGGGTAACATGTAATGCGAATGTAAAGATGCAACAAAAATCAGAAAATTAGAAGTCTAACTATTTAAGGTATTGTAAGGATGCAACAATAATTAGAAAATTAGAAGTCTAACCATTTAAAGGTGAGCATTTAGGAAGTATTGCATGTACAAATAACAAATATAAGGGCTGTAAGAGCAACTCCAGTGTTGGAGCCTTCCCCCAAGCTATACACTATTCAATCCACCTAATGAACAGTAACTGTCCTTAATAACCAGTAATAGCCCTGGCAATAGCATTTGCATCTCCACCGTTACACTTCAATAGCCCTGGCAATAGGCAATAAAATATTAGTATTTTTTTATTTATTAAAATAATACAAAATAATTTTATTGTAATATCGGATAAGATTTTTAATTGTTCTCGTGTGACACGTGTTATTATCCGAAGTAGTATTAAATAATACAAATAATTTATTTGTAATTTCGGATAAGATTTTTAATCGTTGTCGTGCAGCATTTTCATAAAATTCGAAAGAAATTATTGGGGATGGATTTCGATAAATTTTTTAATCGTACTCGTTATGCCACGTGTCATTATCCGAAAATACAATTATTAGTGATGGATTTCTGATAAGATTATTAACCAATCACGTCGCGCCACGTGTCATAATCTGTTCACAATCTTTGAGGATAGATTTCCATCAGATTTTTAACGAATGACGGCATGCCACGTGGCATTATGTACAACCTAATCCTTTCTGAATCCTCCATATAATCTACCATCCATCCTCACAAATCTCACACCAATTTTCTCAAGATCTCTATCATTATTCATAGTTTCTCGCAACATCTTCAAGAAGCGACCAATTCGTACCTGCACCAGTGGTCATTTTGTTGAAAAAAAATGGATTCAAACTTTGAGACAAAGAAAGGAATGTGATTGAAAGTAGTTGGGAAAATATGAAATTGTTGTGTAAGGTAGATGATAATGAGAAAGTATTTATAGAAAAGTAAAAACAATTTTTTTAAAAAAAATTTCAGATTTTTTTTTAAATTTTTATTCAATTAATTAATCTCTGCCGTTGGATATAAAAAAATTTGAATTCCAACACTCCAGATTGTGCCACGTGTCACAACGGTAACTTTTCTTAATTTTAAAACTATTTTTTCTTTTATATTTTTATTTATAAAGCATATTAATATTCACCGTTGATCTCAGATCGAACGGTGGATATTAAATAAGACTTTTTTTTTTTACCGTTGAGATCGAACGGTCCAAATTAAATATCCGTTGAGATCGAACAGATCGTGGGAAGCCACGTGGCTTTCCAACGGTAACTGAAAAAGCAAATTTTTTTTTCTTCTGATTTTGTGTCGGCGACGCGCCCCCACGCTTGAGTGGGGTGCACGCGCCTGACACAAAAAAAATTAAATAAGGCCTGACGCCAGGCTGACGTCAGCGCTGGCGTCACAGGGCCTCAGGCTCTCGGGTTGGCAATTCTCCACGGGCCCAGAGCTCAGGCCTCCACCTTCACTCAGGCTTGCCCACACTGGAGCCGGTCCATGGGGCCTCGAGCCTCTTTTCTCTCCCCCGTCCCCCGAGCAACTGCCCACGCTGGGCTTGCTCTAAGGAAAAAAACAAAAATTTGGAGCAGAAAGCACACATAAAGCTAATAGGATTCCCACTTCTCGCTAAAGGTGAATTTGAACCATATTATTTATTAGCCCATTTTGAGGCTAAGTTCACCCCCTCCCCTTAGTAGATAATATCGTTTGTTCAAAAAAAAAATTATATATATATATATGCTTATGTACAAATTCAATTAGTTTTAAAATATACTAGTTTGCTTACACATTTTAATATACAAGTGTATGCTTATAAAAACAATGACCAAAATGTATCCAAAACTAACAATAAAATACAAACGTTGATTACATAATATATAATTTGAGTAAATAACTAAAAAGAAGGGAATATCTCGGAAGTTTTTTTATTTGAAAAAGTTCGGAACCCTTAAAAAATATTCAGATCGAAAATTTAGAATTCTCGAAAAATGCATTCCAATTCACGTTTCAATTTTTCAGAAAAATATTTGGATTTTAATTTTTCAATTTCATATTGTGAAATTTTAAATAGAAACCGGAAACATCATTCCAACTTGTAGACATCGTTACATTATTTTCCTACACGCTGAGATATATGTTTAAATTTATTTATTGTTTCTGTTTAATTTATTTAATTTGATAACTAAAACTAAAAATTTATGTACGAGGAGAAAAATAGTGTGTACTTATCATTCCCCAAATTCTAAGCTTATATCACAGTCTCATGAATATATTTTCGAGACAGAATCCTCTCGGAATCTGTTTTCTAGGGATCCGGAGGACCACATCATCTTGGCCTTTGGTTCAAAATCGTGCGACCAGGATTAAATTTACTTTTTAAAACTAAACTTGAAACAAGACCAAGGTTGATGCACCTCTATTTCCTTTTCCTCCTCACTTTCCCCGTATCTCAGATCCCAACAACCGACAAAACACAAATTTAAATTCTTCAATGTCAAAATTTCATTGATTAAATACTGAATCAACACTAACTTACGGGCAGACCGGATTCTTTCTATTTTTTGTTAACATTCCGAGTTCGAGAAGAGGAGATGGCGCAAAGACTTGGAAGTCAACAAAGGAAGGAACATGGTAGTTCTCATAACCTGACAAATTAGTAGTCGTTCCTTGCATATATTTTGTGGAAAAACTTGGAAGTCAACAAACGAAGGAACATCGCAGTTCCCAAATCCATTTGTTATAACCTAAAAATTCAAATGATATGTCACCGCACCTACTGCGTATAGTAAGGCTTACGCATGGTTACACTTTGGATTTTTTTAGTTAAAAAAAAAAAAAAAAAAAAATCAACTGATGGCTTCACCACGGTTATTCACATTTTTGGAGACCATAAAAATTCACAGAGGCATTTCAACTTTCTCTTGGCCACCATCGAGTAATTCACTAACACCTGAAATCAAACCCAAGACGTGCAGTGTGAAATACAAGCAAGGAATTTCAAATTTGTCCCCAACTACTGGGCCAACCTGCGGTGGTTAGTTACATTTTGGATGCTACATGGATGTTCCAAAGACACTATTGTTAAAGTATATACCTTCATTGCAAGGAAATATTCATGTTAAATGATTGTTGTTATCAAATTTCTGTTACATACACTACCAAAAATTTGTACTTGGCCTACGAAACGAAATTTGGCCCAACGAATCAAATCGTCAGGTAAAAGGATTTTACTCGAAGAATTTTTCAATTAGTAGCCCAAAGATGGGCAACATTTAAGGTTTACCCAAAGTCTACGCGAAGAGATGTTTTTCATAGCGTAAGGACAAAATTGTCAGACAAACTTTAGGCGCCCACATGGGAAAAATTATGCGTGATTTGTAAGGGTTTGCCCAAAGAAATATAGGTTCGTCGAATTTCCATCTCTGACTCAACGGCTCATTTCATCGGGCAAAGTCTTCATGCAGTTTGTCAAAGGCTCACAATAACCTGTAAAAAAACCTGTCGGGCAAACTCTTATACATTAAAATGGTCTATACCTTCTTCTTTCGCCCCTATTTTTTCTTTTCTTCTTCCCCCATCCGCCGCCCTTGCCGCTTTTGGAAAACAGTTCATCTCTCACACTCACACCGTCCTCCATCTCTTCCACTCCCAATTGATGAGTTTATTTTTTTATTTAATTGTGTGATTAATTAATTGATTGTTATAGTTTGTGATTGGATTGTAAAAAGAAAAGGTATGTATTTGTCTCTTAATTATAAGTTAGTATGTTTTAATTTATTTAATTGTGATATATTGTGATATATATATATATATATATATATGTGTGTGTGTGTGTGTGTGGAAACTGTAAGTTATGTGAAATTTTGGAGTTTGTGTATTATTGAAATATATGGAGCTTAGGTGAATTTAATTTGTGCAGCATTAGGCTAGAAAACCGTGGTGTGAAATATGTTAAAATTTCAATCAGTATGCGGCGCTGCGATTTAATTGATTTTTGAATTGTCCAGTTCGAACAGTTCGAGAATGCACTAGCATGTGTTTAGGGTTTGTGGTGAACATGGCTAAGTTTTGACCGCAGGAAATTTTGTTGTATCCCTCTATTGTCTTTGAGTGCGTACAAATATATGTTTATAATATTTACATCTTGCACTTGGAGGACCTTATGGATCTTTATATGTTTAAAAAATAATATCTTTTCTTGATATCCAATTTGCTCAAAACAAAGAATCATTTACTTCTACCTTATGAATTGTCCAAATTCAACACAATCCCAAGCATTGATCAAAGCTGTAACACACATCATATAAAATGTATTATAAATTTTAAATATTTAGTTAATCACACCAGAAATAAATAATGATACATTTCAGCGACAAACAAAATGTATTAAAATAAAAAAAAAAACCATGGAAAGGCTAACAATTATGAAATCAACATTCGACGACTACTTTTAGTTATCATTGCTATAGTACGACACAAAACCCAATTTTGCAGCAAAGACAATGCAAAATATTTCATATGAGGAAAAAAAAAATGCGAAATTCAATAATATCAAGCAAAGATCATATAAATTAGCCTTCCCATTTCAAAATAAAATCTAGCTCATAATTTTTGGCGCCTAAAATCCAATCCAAACAGAACATGACAAAATAAACAGATAAAGATTGTAATAACCCTTATCCAAATAATCTAAAATTTTATTGGGCCAAGCCCAGCCCCCTTTGTGTTAACTTAAGGCCCAAGGTTAGGTCCAATGACCCAACCCGTGAGCCCTATCCTCTTCCTTCCTTATTTTCTGAAAAACTAAGCTTTCTCTCTTTCTCTCTCTAACTCTCGGAAGTTTCCACTTTCCCCTGAGCTCCGAGAGCTCTCGTCCCCCCTCCCTTTTCGAAATCTAAACAAATCCAACAAAATAACCACATATCTAGAATCCTTAGGGCTTGAGGAACTCAACTGTAATCCTGCATGCATCATTAGAACACCTCTGTGTGTTCTACCATTGAAGCCGAGAGCTTCAAATCTCCGAAACTCCAACACAGGTAAGGCTCACTGCCCTATTCTGTTTTTGTTGAGTTGTTTTCAGTCCAAATGGAAGGTTCTAATCTGTGCATGCACTCTATTTTCGTTCTTCCAGAACCCGACGAGAAAATCCGTCGAAGCTCGTACACGAACTCGGCCAATCTCGACCCCATTTGATCCTATTTGTGGTAAAATTCTGTTTCCCTTCTTTTTCAGCATCATTTTTATGATTTAAATTCCTATTTTTACCTAGTTTTAGGTTCAAATCGGAATCGGGACGAATTCCGATCACCATTTTCTGGTGTTCTTCTCCGATCTGCATGCGCAGGCCCTTCAGGCCATTCTGGACACCCACGGGCTTTGGGCCCGTAGACCAAACCCCCATTCTATTTCTTTTAATTTATTTTCTGTTATTTATTTTACTGACCCAAAGGGCCTTGGGCCGTTTTTATTTAGAAAGGGTTTAAAGCCCGGCCCCGTGTGTGAGGCCTGTTGGGCTGTGCAGTGCGTGATTGTGTGCGTGTGTATGTGGACTGTGCGTGCATGCGTGTGCATGCCGTGCGTGTGTGTGTGTGTTTGTGTAGCGTGTGTAAGTGTGTCCGTGTGAGTGTGTGAGTGTGTGCGCGTGTGTGCACGTGTGTGTGTGTGTTGTGCCGTGTGCGTGTATGTTTGTGTGGGTTTGGGTTTAAGGCCCAAACTACCCCCTTTCACCCTAACCCTTTTTAACCAAAAACCTTAGGACCCGAAAACCCAAAATCTCTCTTAGGCCAATTTCGATGTTGCGAATCTGTTTTTGGCGTCCCTTTCCTGGAATTGTACCGTTGAGCATAGTTTGATAAATTGTACATTTTTGTGCTTAGGTGAATTTGCTAGTGGGGATTTCCTTAATCCTTTTCCGCACAACTCTGCTGCTACGGAGTATTTATGAGTGAACCCCTTCTAAAATTACATGATTTCATAGTTTAATTGCATAAATGAAAAGCATGCCTTACGAGTTTATGGATTGATTTTATGTTAAACATATTTATTGAAATGTTGATTATCGTCTCGTTATTTTGTGAGGAATTAATTGTTGGCCTATATTGAGCTATAGTTTGATATATTGTATTTTCTATAAAAACCATGAATTGGTAGACTATCTGATGGATGACGATAGGATGCTAGAACACGTTTTAGAAACCCCTCTTTATAGAATAGATGATGGATGACTTTATACTATGAAGTGGTTATTTATGAGAGGTGTAACTATTTGTGCGTACCTAGAGGACACTATGCCGCCTGGGGCGACGATCTGGTGTTGGCAGTTAGGCTGGGAGAAATAATCCCTAGCTATGGGCTGAGGGACACGAAGCAGGCATTGGGCTAGGAGTTGGTAATCTCTGGCTACGGGCGCAGAGACCACAGTGCTGGCATAGGGCCAAGAGTTATATTTATTCAGTGATCGTACTAGCAGCACATTGCGCTTACGAGACTATCTGTGAGACGATTGACATTTTGATTTCCACGATGGTTTTCCGTGATATGTCTTTTGAGATGTTTTTGGCATGCTAGGGTTTTCAGTAAACCTATCACTTATTATGCTAGTAGTTTTCTTTATATAAACTGTGAGGGTTAGTATCTTGATAACTGTTTTATTATTATTGTATATGCAAACTTGGTCCACTCACCTTTGTTTTGCGCCTCCATTCAGATCTTAGAATCGAGGCATACAATCCCGACGTCAAGGCACTTCAACATCGGCATCTTCGAGCCGTCTCAGTGTAGGACCCCCTCCTTTATTCATTCAATTTTATATTATTTCTTTTAGTGTTCTAATTAGCTGTATGCTCTGAACACGTTCCTAAATTGTTAATTCATTGTATTTCAATTCATAACCCTTATTTATTTCTTATTCTTAGCTTTTGTATCAATTAATGGCTTTCGTCACCTTCGGTGTCGGCCAGCACGTGTCTATCCTGCTATTAGGGCAATATCAGGGTCGGAGGCGTGTCAAAGATGCTCTCAAATTCATTGATTAAAAATAACCTAAGATCTCATCACAACTTTGCAATTCACTACCTGACCAGCTAAATTTTAGCCTCAAGCGGCAAGAAACGGTACAGTAGCCAAGTTGTCCTCGCCTCTGTATAAATGAAACTTGCAAAACAAACTGTCAACCAAAAAAACCAAATCATAAATCTCAAAAAGGCTCATAAACAAAAATCGTAGAAACAGGGAACAAATTGGTACAAAAGACACAGTCTTTGTTACCAAAACTAACCAAGACTCTTCAATTTTAAACAAAAAAACAACAAATCAATTTGGTTGCCTCCTGTTTAATGTTTAGCCAAATTGTTTGGGTCAATAGTCCATAATCATCAAACCCAAACAAAACCCCAAATTGATTTGAAAAAAAATTTAATACAAAACATCCTACCCGTTCCTATTTTCCGTCCTTTCATTGTTAATGAACAGCGCATTAAAACTGGATTTTAGTATGTGTATAATTTTATTCAAAATTTCAAGACACCGTAAATGTTAATGTAAGAAAGAAAGATTTGAGGCAACTAAATCTAAAGCCTCTTTATTTATTGAGGCCAAAAAGCAGAAGGAAGAACAAAAAAGCCCGAAATCCAGGCCGGAGAATAATGATCGATGTCTTGAGGAGGACAAAGGCGTCAACGAGAGAGAGAGAGAGAGAGAGAGAGAGTGACAGTGATCGTCAGCAGCAAAAACCCGCCTCTTATTTCGTTTCATAGAATTCTTCTTGACTTTGTTTATCATCTTCTAAAACCAAGTCAATCTCAAAACCCCAAATCACTAATTTGAATAAAGCTGCTCAATTTCTGAAACCCTCATCGTTTTCACGGGGATTTAATATTAATCTGCTGTTTTGTGCTGTCCAATCAGAATCCAAAGCCGATTAGAACCCATTCAAATATTCGGCAGAAAGTTGTTGGCTTCTGCTTGCTTGCGTTGTTCAAATTTTGAAACCGTCAGCTGCTGCTTTTGCTTTTGCTTCTGTTCTTTTATTTTTCTAGAGAGAGAGAGAGAGAGAGAGCAATGTTCTGAAGCTGAGATTTTGAGCTCAGAGAGAGAGATGGTGGTGAGGAAAGTGGGAAAGTATGAGGTTGGGAGGACGATCGGCGAAGGGACCTTCGCCAAGGTGAAGTTTGCCCAGAACACTGAGACGGGTGAGAGTGTCGCCATGAAAGTGCTGGATCGCACTACCATCATTAAGCACAAGATGGTCGACCAGGTCTTATCTAATTTCCCCAAAAACTTATCCAATTTACCTCTTTTCCATGTTTTAATTTTGAATTTCAATAGGTTCCAATTTACCCACTTTCTGATTTAGCTTGGTTTTTTATTTTTACTGCCTAAATTATCTAGTATTTAAGATTAAAGCGTGACCCAGTTTCCAGTTTGAGATTTTTTTTTTTTCCTTGAAAGAAATTGGTTATGTGTGGTGCAGATCAAGAGGGAAATATCGATAATGAAGCTTGTCAGGCATCCCTACGTTGTTCGTCTGCATGAGGCATGTCATATCTTTCATTTAAGAAATTGTTTGATTTGTGCAGTCAGTCAATGAGGATGAATGTTGTTTTCCGTAGGTTCTAGCTAGCCGCACTAAGATTTATATAATCTTGGAGTTCATTACTGGTGGCGAATTGTTTGATAAAATCGTGAGTAGTCTAACTTTTCAAATACCACAACCCAATTTGTAATTTTGGATCATTAGTTCTTTGAGAAAGTGGTGATGCTAACATGGAAGCCGCCTGTTTTTAGGTTCATCATGGGCGACTTAGTGAAGGCGAAGCAAGGAGATACTTCCAACAGCTTATTGATGGGGTGGATTATTGCCATAGCAAGGGAGTTTATCATAGAGACTTAAAGGTGTTCATTTTATAGCGTTTAGCTTGCTTTTATGATCGCTTCATTTTCTATCATGAATTCTTATTGTTGTTCTTTTGCAGCCGGAGAACCTGTTGCTTGATTCTCTAAGAAATTTAAAAATTTCCGATTTTGGTCTTAGTGCTTTGCCCGAACAAGTAAGATTCTATCCGAATCATTCTTGTTTCATTGTTTGACATTTTAGCGGTTGAGAGATTTGATATTTTTTAGGATTGCTGACATTATATTGGTTGTGAGATTTAATATCTGTCAAGGCTCATTTTCGTGATGTCTCATTGTTTTGACATTTTTTGAGAAATGTGATATTGTCAGTATTGTTGACGTTATATTGGTTGTGGGATTTAATATTGTCGGGACTCATTCTTTTGATGTCTGCACATAGGGAGTCAGCCTCCTTCGGACAACCTGTGGCACCCCTAACTATGTAGCACCTGAGGTAACGACAAATTCTAGCTTCTGCGTTAAATGTTGACTATATCTCAATTGCTGATTCTCTTAGTTTCAGTCATTGTCATGTAATGTGCTAATTTTCTTTTCTTATACACTATTCTGTGCTCTAGGTACTCAGTCACAAGGGTTATGATGGTGCCGTGGCAGATGTTTGGTCCTGTGGGGTTATCCTTTATGTCCTGTTGGCAGGTTATCTTCCATTTGATGAGCTTGACCTAACCACACTATATAGCAAGGCATGAACCTCCTTCATGTTTACTATTCTCTGCTTATTTTGCCATTGATCAATAAGATAAATGATATTTTGGATCAATATTTGAAAACTATGAGAGATATTATGATTACCTCAGCTAAACTGATAACATTGAAGGGGTGATCAAGTGTATTTGGTTGTGAAGGAAAGTAGAAATGATGTCTCTGTTCTTGCACATGCTAGATCTACTTTGACATTATTTTTAGGTGCAGTTTCTAGTGGATGCTAGGTTTGATTCTTTAATCATCTAATTTCTGTTGCAACTCAACTCAATACTTTTCCTTCTCTGTTGTCTAGTTTTCTACAAGGATGTTAAAGTAGGATGTTAATACCATTGTTAATATTAAGTCATTATCGTTTAATTTCTGCAGATTGAGAAAGCAGACTTCACGTGCCCATCTTGGTTTCCAGTGGGAGCAAAATCCTTGATTCACAGAATTTTAGAGACAAACCCAGAAAAGGTAAGTATTGGCTAAGTTATAAGACATTGTTCAGTTTTTGTATGCATAAAGTGCACATTTTAAGGTTTCATTACTATTTCAATATCTAACAAGACACGATCACAAAATGTTGGTGTCAGTCTTTTACGTTAATTCATATTGCTTTATAATGGACATCTTAAAGTGTTGGAATGAGATAATGCATGTAACTAACCAAGTAAGGGTGAGGTGTTTAATAAAACAAATGGTAGAAGAGAAGTATTTGATTAGCAGTATCAAGGCCTATGCTTCATTTAATAGGAAAACCGGAATGTGTCTGTTTAGCATTTGACCCAACATTAAGCCTTTGCTGTGAATTTTGACTTTTCTTGAGTTTGTCACCTTTTTTTTTTTTTATCTCTGTATTGTTGTTTTCCTTCCCTTGTTTGGTGTTTTCTTCATGCCAAGGGATATATACAGGGGGGACTGTCATATTTGAAATTTCAGATACAAATCACCTTTGTTCTATGTTCATTTTAAAAATTTTTAGCCTTCAGCAATTAAGAAAAAGTTGGTATTGCTTTACTAAAGATTATAAGATATTCCACTGCTATCTAGCTTTATAGTTTTCCTCGAGCACCAACGTTACTATGTCCTCAGATTTCTTTCATCATTAAATGATTTATTTCCAATGCATGTTAAACTGTCAAGTAAAACTAAGTTTTTCAGAACTTGGTGTGCTAATGATTGCTAAAGAACTAATGTTTTATGTGCTTTCTGAACACTTTCCTCCGGCTCTTCTTTCAGTAACCAATCCCAGTACGGGTGTGACTGTTAAAGGTATCATAAATTGGTCCAAATAAATACATTCTTTACTGGAAGTGGAATATGACTGATATAAAGTCTTTACTTTTACGTGTGTCATATCTGCACTTGTAATGCAAGAGAAATCTAATTATGGATTAGCTGGAATATGACTGTAATAAAGTTGGTACTTTTAAGTTTCTATTTAATAAATTAACAATAAAAGTACACTGTGGAAATTTTCTTTGACAGCAGTTAAGATCCTAAGTTGGAATAGTTCATATTAAAAGTAGAAGCCTAGTTGTTACCAACAATAATTAACTTTTCCTTTACTGAGAATTATGAGTGCTGGCTTTGCCATTTACAGTGGGATATGCCCCCTAATTATTTTTAACCGACATAGCCTCTCATTTTTTCTTTTTAACGTTGTTAGGATTCAGGACCCACTCATGGCATACATTTGCATTCTTGGTTATGTTTTTGCTATTTTTGAAAGTTTATTTCCCACTCCATTACATTATTCATCCCCCTGAGTGGTTTAATTCAAGAGTGTGAACAAACATCAAGTACTTTTGAAGGAAGTGGAATGAACTCTATGTAATTATGTAACAAGTGTTCTTGGATTTACAGTTCTTGGTTCTCTACTTCACTGAGTTATTTTGGTGGTTGTTTCTGAAAAGTTTGTGTGTGTGATTGTGTCAATGCAGCGTATTACAATTGAACAGGATAAGAAATGATGAGTGGTTTCAGAAGAATTACATTCCTGCCCGACTACTTGAATATGAAGATGTAAATCTGGATGATGTAAATGCTGTTTTTGACGAAGCCGACTCTGAGGTTGTCAAAGACTGAGAGAAGCTGCATTTTATTTTGTTGAGATTGACAACACAAGTAACTCTCTTGTTACATATGGTTTATAGCAGGAACAAAGGGTTATCGAGCACCATGGAAATGAAGACATGGGTCCTTTAGTTCTTAATGCATTTGACTTAATAATTCTATCTCAAGGCTTAAACCTCGCAACAATGTTTGACCGTGGAAAGGTAAGATACTATCTGACTGGTTAACTTCCTTTATATTTATCCTTTAGCTATTTGGTAAATCATACTTCCAGTTTTACAATTTGGTGTTTAGTACCGTGTGTTACCCTCTCACCCTTTGAGCATCATGGCCTTTGCTTATAAATACAAGTTTGCACGAGAGAGTTTATTTATGCCAGTTTTCTACTTATCTGATACACGAATTGCTTCCCCAATTGTAGGATTCTATGAAATATCAGACACGCTTTGTTTCACAGAAGCCAGCAAAGGTTGTATTATCCAGTATGGAAGTTGTTGCCCAATCAATGGGTTTCAAGACACACATTCGCAACTATAAGGTAAATCAGGCTAGATCTATACTAATCTTTATTTTGGGTGCTTCATTTTACTTCCCCTTTATTTTGTTTACCAATATCATGATATATACAAGTTTCATTACTTCTATTTTGTTTGCTGTTTAATATGCGTGCGCAAGCACATGCCTGTTTATAATTCTGGCAGGACGATCCTGGATAGAAGTACTTGAAAACTCACTCCTAAACGTGTATATTTCTGTTTTTTTCCAGATGAGAGTGGAGGGTCTTTCAGCAAATAAAACTTCTCATTTCTCCATTATTCTTGAAGTAAGCTTTTACTTCTGATGCGACACTGAACCAAAGTCACCCCTACCATTTTAGTAGACTGATTATTTTTAATTTTTTTCTATTGCCCGCAGATTTTTGAAGTTGCTCCGACCTATTACATGGTAGACATTCAGAAAGCCGCTGGAGATGCTAGTGAATTCCTCAAGGTTAGTTTTCAGTTTGCTTCTAACTATTTTTGTTTGACATCGATGACATGGTAGCTTGTACCACCTGCATGTGCATGCATGTTGGTTGCGTCTGAATGGCTTCTGTTATACAGTTCTACAAGAACTTCTGTAGCAATCTTGAGGATATCATCTGGAAACCTCCTACTGAAACTAGCAAATTGAGGATCGGCAAAAGCAAAAGTAAAAAGCGCTGATTTCTGACGTTTGTATCATCTACTTTCGGTTATCAGTGCTAGACATGTACCTTGCAATGGTTTTGACCTTTGGGCGCATCGCATGGGGTGTTCAGGTTGTAATTGCTGTTTACCGAACCCTATCAGGAATCTCCTTCCCCGTGACACTACAGCACCTGAAGAAGAGGGAAGAAAAGAATCCAGAAGGAAAGAGATGTATTTCGTTTTTGTTTTTTCGTGTAAAACTTTGTAACTTTGTATAACCCAAGTTGTTTTAGCGTAAAAGTTTGTATAAACTGAGTCCTAATCGGGATGTAAGGAATGTTAAAGATGAGCATGGCCTCATGGATCTCCAGTTCTCTCTCTCTTTCTCTCACGGACACTATCCCACGTACTATAAACTCGTAGCATAAATCTTAGATACAACCAATTGTTCCACGCCATCGCTCCGATGTTATACAACAAATCAATTATGAAATAAAGAGCTGTTGATGACAATCTGATTTCCCAGTGAAATTTTGTAGTATCAAATGAGTCATTTTGTTTCGTTCAACTTTTTGTCGTTCATGAGATTTGAATTCGGGACTTCTTCCCTCTAAGTGGGCTAAATGGTCATTACACCAGCTCCTACAGCATGCCTTATCACTCGCCATAAGAACCAAGGCTCAGCTGTGCCATGCATATCTCCTTCAACATTAATGATATATCAAAATGCAACAAGAGCTTTTCGGCATGTTTTTTCTATCCTGAATCAAATAGCACCTCCGAAGTCCCCACATGAACATGTTCCATTCACAAATCTGTGGAGGCGCTTGCAGTCTCGAATGATCATCTCCCTACCAGTCAGTAATGACACAAACTTAACAAAATTATGGCAATCTCTGCACATAACGATGCTCTTGATGACCCGAATTGGTGCAGCATTTGGCATGTTCAACAATCCAAAAGCAATCGCTAACTTTTCACTATGATAAGCGGTTGGAATCGAAGTCTGCTCTTCATCCTCCTCATCGGTTACTTCCAAAATTTCTAGTGACTGATATCCAAGACTCCTGACTCGATCAATCAAACTTTGTACGAATTTTTGTGTGTCTGCGCTGTAAGGATGTAAATTATCGTTCGGTTGAAACGAATAGATCTTGTCTCTAATGCTAATCCAGCTCCAGTCCCTTAATTTTTCAAGCTTCTCCTCTTTCATCATCTTTCCACCTTAGCAACGTCCTTCAATCTTCCTGCAGAGTGGTACAAATTCAACAACAATGTGTAAGTCTCTGTATCTTTTGGTTTTAGCTTGAGCAACCTTTCAGCAGCATAAAATCCCAATTCTAAATTCCCATGTCTTCTACACCCTGCAACCAAGATCGACCATATAAACTCGTTCGCTTGAGGATCCATTTTCTTTGCCAGGTCAATCGCTTCCTCCAACCGACCCTTCCTCACGTACATATCAATCAAGCAGGCAAAATGATCCAGCACAGGCTTAATCTTATAGTCTTTTCTCATCATCTCAAAGTAACCAAGAGCTTCGTTGACCATCCCAGCCTGGCTACAAGCCGAGAGAACACTCACGAAAGTAATCTGATTCGGCCTTACTCCTGCAATTCTCATATCCTCAAAGAGCTGCAGTGCTTGCTGAGTCCGGCCATGCTGCGCAAAACCTGCAATCATAGTTGTCCATGATATCAAGGTTCTCGTAGACATCTCCACAAAAGCTTTACTTGCTTTCTCAATACTGCCACATTTGTTGTACATATTGACTAGGGCAGTGCCTACTACCATATCTTCGAGAAACCCCGTCTTAATGGTCTGAGCATGAATCTGTTCTCCCTGTTCTAAGGCCACTAAACCACTACATATAGCTAAGATACTCGAGAAGGTGAACAAATCCGGTTGCAAGCTTGAACGGTTCAGTTTCAAGAAAATGTTGAGTCCTTCAGTTCCGCTTTGGTACGCTGAAACATCGTCCTGTGCAAGATCCATAATTTGTGCATGGCCTGCAATCATTGCATTCCATGTAACCAAGCTGATAGCTTCCATCCCATTAAACAACTTTCGAGCCTCATTAATCTGTCCACATTTGAGGTATAAATACATGATAGCGTTCTTGATTGGTAGGTTCAATTCGTAGCCAAGTTTTATGCTTAACGAGTGAACCTGTTGCCCCACACTCAGTGACAGCATTACACAACACAAGCTCAAGACATTGGTTAGGGTATACTCATTAGGTCCAACGCCCTCGGAAAGCATCTCAGTGAAAAATCTCAAACCTCTTGCAGCATCACCGTTATCACTACAAGCGGATATGGTTGCAGTCCACGAGATAACATTTTTTTCCTCGATTTTCTTGAACGCTTTAATACTGGATTCCAAGCTTCCACATTTCGAGTATAAACTGCAAAGACAGTTGCCGGTACTAGTGTCAAAATCGATCTGGTATTTGATTATATAGCCATGCAACTGCTTCCCTAATTTTAAGGACTGCAAAGAAGAACAAGCATTCAAAACAATTCCTAGGGTGTAATTCGTAGGATAAGCCCCGGCTTCCAGCATTTCTTTGAAAACCCGAATTGCAACTTCTGGCTGCGAATTGTGAACATAACCCGTTATCAAACTTGTCCACGAAACAACGTTCCTCCCAGGCAGATTGTCAAAAACTTTACGTGCACTTTCCATGATTCTACATTTTGCATAAACATTGACAAGGAATGTTGTGACAAACAAATCTTGGTGGGTTCCGGTCTTTATGATGTGGGCATGCACAACTTTCGCTTCTGAAGCCGAATTCCTGTGTATACATTCTTGCAAGACAGGGACATAGTGAGTTGATTCAACCTTATCCCCCTCTCTAATCATCAAAAGCGCTTCTCGGAAATCCAGAGACTTGGGGAGTTCCGAACTTCGATCTGAATTGGTGATTGTCTGACTTTTCGGATACGAAACATTTGCGCTCTGCAGATACCAAAGGTAGGACTTTAGTAAAAACATTAACAACAAACAGTGTAATTTAAAGTTGTGCTACTTTTCACTTCAACTATGTACAGAGTACAGAGTAGTACTAGTTTTCATGGTTTCAGAAAGAACATACTGCATGGATTTAGCTTTTCTTTTACTTGAGCGATATTCTAGTTTAATCCAAACGACAGAATGCAGAGGGAGAACAAAACACACAAATAACAGAAACAAAAGATTTCGAGTACCTTTTCGGAAGGAAGAAAATTTGTGGGGTGTTTTCGGAATTCTTGGTCGAGTTTGAGAGTGCCACTGAGAGCAACTGAGGGCAAGGAAGCCATAGAAAGGCTTGGAGGGGTTTTCTTCAAAGAAATTGCATGCTGCTAGAGGTGCAGAGGGAGGGAGAGAGGGAGAGAGAGTTTATTATCCACTCCTCTATCTGTTTCGGGTAAAGTTTTGTGGAGGGAAGTAATGCTCAACCAAATAGAGTCCTGGAATTGAACCAAATTACACTATTGCCCCTCCATCGGTATAAATAAAGAAATTGTTTCTCTTTTTTGGCTAATTTAAATATACAATTTTCTTTAGCTTAAAATACAAATAGAGAATTGGTGAAGGAAAATTCAAGGAATAAAATGAGAATGGTCTTGTCATTGGTGCTGGGGTTTTGAATCCAGACGGGGTTACTATTTTGGTGGCCGAGGCGATGGCTTTGAGGGAAGGTTTGAAGTGCGCCATACAAAAAGGAATAACTAACATTATGGTGGAGGGCGATTCTTGGCTTACTATCTGAGTGGTCCAAGGTCTGTGTGGTGTCTCCGGAAACCTTTATTCATCATTGATAACATCAGGTGGTTAACTTTACAGTTTATTAGTATCAAGTGAAACCATATCTTTAGTGAGACAAATTTTGTTGCTGATGCTTTTGATCATCATGACCTTACTGTTTTTGTTCGTTTGCTCAAGCTGCTTATTTTCTTTACTGTACTGTGAACAGTTGTATTCATTATTTCTCCCTTTGCATGAAGTTTTTTCTTCATCAAAAAAAAAAAAAAAAGGATTGTAAGATTTTTTTGGTCAGCAAACTTTTTTTTCTTCCATATCCATGAGAGATTGAGGATTCGAACTTTGTACATAAACATCACGAAAATAAACAACACTGAACTAAGAGTTCAATGTTGGTCATCAAACTTGATATGACCTAATCAAAGAAAGTTGACATTATTACATTAATGTTATGGATTTTGATCAAAAATTGAAAATTAACAAGGTTTCAGTTCAAGAACATTAACAACTAAGGACTGTATCCAAAATCTCCATTTCTTCCCATATCCACGAGAGATTGAGGATTCAAATTTGTACGTTACTCGTCCCGAAAATAAATACTACTAAATTAAGAGTTAAAAATTTTGGTCACCAAACGTGATATGAATTAATCAAAGAAAGTCGACATTTTATTCTGTGATGGCATGTACCACATGTATGGAGATAGTTGACTTTCTCCATCTGTGAATGGAAGGCCACTACTGTACATGATAGTTTGCATATATGTAGTTCAAAACTCAGAAATTTCTGAGTTGAATGCTGAGCAAAAGGAACAAGAAGAAATGGCTTCACCTCCAATAGGTTTTTTGATTGGAAAAATTGTATCATTTGTTGAAAGCAAAGTGTCTCCGTTAGAAGGAGTTCATGACGAACTTGAAGATCTCAGGCTTGAGTTGCTGACCATGAAAGCGTTCTTGTCAGATGCGGAAAGGAAGGGAGAAGCCCTTTCTGAAGTAGAGAAGACATGGGTGGCAAATGTAAGGTACGTATCCCTCGACGTTTAAGACATCCTCGATGAGTTTACCCATCGCATAAACAAGCAAACAAGTTGGGGTCCTTTCAAAAGAGCCTTTTGTCGAACAGTTTGCTTCCCAAAGAATCTTGGGGAGAGGCATCGGATTGCCACTAAATTGAAAAGAATCATCAAAAGAATCAGAGCCATTCCGGAAAGGATTGGAAGGTTTGGCGTTGATCATATAGAAGGCGTCACGTTCACTAATTACGATCCAAATACAAGAGTCAAAATATATGGGGAGTCATCTCTTTTCTTTAAAGATGATCTTGTGGGAATCAAATATGAAAAAGAGAAGTTAGTAGAATGGTTGTTGTGCAAACAACCTCAAAGAAGCGTAATTTCAGTGGTTGGAATGGGGGGTTCGGGGAAGACTACCCTCGTTGTAAACACCTACAAAAGTCAAAATTTAAAGAAACATTTTGATTGCTATGCGTGGATCATCGTCTCACAGACTTACATATCAGTTGAAGATCTACTAAGAACCATGATCCAAGAACTTTTTAGAGCAACAATGCAAGCTATTCCTCTAGACTTTAGCAGTATGAGCTATGTACATTTGGTAAAAGTGCTCGTCGACTATTTGGAGCCAGAGTGTTATTTGATTGTCTTAGATGATGTGTGGGATATAAATCTTTGGAGACAAATAAATGTAGCACTTCCAAATGGAACACTTGGAAGTCGAGTCATGCTTACAACTCGGAATGAAGGCATTGCTTCTTTTTCATTTGGAGTTGGAAGTCGCGTGCACCATGTTCAGCCTCTTACTGACGATGACGCTTGGGATCTTTTTTCCATGAAAGCTTTCTCTAGCTGGGATGACAGTAGTTGTCCAACAGAATTTAAACTCACAGCTGAGGATCTTGTTGGAAAATGCCAAGGCCTACCTCTAGGAATCGTAGCTTTGGGTGCTCTCATGTCAACTAAAAGATTTGTTCCCGAGTGGACGAAAGTATATAATAGCTTGAATTGGGAGCTAAGCAACAACCGCACACTTGAAGTAGAGAAGAGCATCTTATCACTAAGCTTCAATGATTTATCATACCAACTCAAGAATTGCTTCTTATATTTTTGCATTTTTCCAGAAGATTATGTAGTTCAATGTAAAAGGCTTATCAGATTGTCGATGGCAGAAGGGTTTGTGGAACAAGTTCGAGGGGCTAAGCCAGAAGACATTGCAGAAAGTTACACAGCAGAGGTCACTTGTCGATGCATGCTCCAAGTTGTTAAGAGGGAACCATCTGGAAGGGCAAAAACATTCAAGATGCATGACCTTCTACGAGAACTTGCTCTTTCGATTTCAGAGACAGAAATTTTGTACAACTTATATGGAGCAAGAAGAAACAAATGAAGAACGAGAGCTCCCCGTCACCTAACAGTGCAAGTAAACTATGGAGAATTACGAATGAAAAAGAACATGTCGAAGGTTCGCACGTTCTTTACTTTTTCTCCTAACATGGCCAATACTTGCTCCACACTAGAAAACTTGCCTTCAGGTTTTGAATTGTTGAGGGTTTTGGATGTTAAGGATGCCCCTATAAGCCGACAGCCACATGAAATGGTTAAGCTTTTAAACTTAAAAGTATTTAAATCTAAGAGGAACAAACTTGGCAGAGCTTCCAGAAGGCATAGGAAACCTTCATAATTTAGAGACGCTGGACATCAGGAATTCCAAAATTTTGGTGCTTCCAGTTGGAACCGCAAAGTTAAAAAACTTACGGCATCTTTTGATGTACCATCATCAAATCCTTAGTCTTTTAATTTGTTGAATGGCACACAAGTCCCTTTCGACATAAGTAAGTTGAAGAGCTTACAAGTTTTAGATGGCATGGAGGGAGGAGGCATGCTAATCAAACAACTTGGACACATGACCCAACTCACAAGACTCCTCTTAACAAATGTGAGAGACATCGACAAGGAGGACTTGTGCATGTCAATCGAAAGAATGAACGAGGATGAAGTGCTACGCTTGGATGCATTGCCTGCATCTCCTCCTTTACTCGAGACACTTGCTCTAGCTGGAAAATTAGAGAAGGTTCCACTTTGGTTCCCTTCCCTTCAGAGTCTTACAACCCTGAACCTGCATTGGTCAAGATTAGAAGAAGATCTTTTGTCTTCCATCCAAACACTACCTAGTCTGACTGAACTTCGACTACGAAATGCCCATATTGGTAAGCGTTTGGTCTTTCGTACTGGATTCCAAAAGCTTGCTGAATTGTTTATAGTCAATTTCCCTCAACTGAATATGATCGTCATAGAGAAGGGGGCGATGCCAGCATTAAAAATACTGGATATAGACGAATGCATGGAGCTGAAGCGATTGCCTGATGGAATCGAACATCTTACTTGTCTCCAAGAACTGTACTTTGAATGTGTTCCCAACGCGCTCATAGAAGGAATACGAACAAAAGAAAGCTCGGATCACTCAAAGGTTAAGCATGTCTCCGACATCGTCTATCTCTGCGAAAGGCTGTGAATTGTGATCCTCGGTAAATCTGGTTAGATCTGCCACCTTGATCTGGTAAATTTGAAGTGTTTTTTAAGCTAATGAGAACAATTAATGGAAAGACAAACGTTCCTTTGAACGTTCCAACAAACATAGCCAAAGTGAACTTTTGTTTGCCCCTTGATTTTGGTGTGCCATTACCCCATCCTCCAATTGAAGCAACAATCCATCTTTCTAAATACGCTACTGGTTGCACGTTTTAATTGAATTCATGACATGACATACAATCTCTTGACTACAATGTATTGACACTACATGTTTTATTAATGAAAATCTTGATTTGTCTAACAATGAGCCAAATTTTTTTTCTTTTTTAAGGACATGGGGCCAAATATTTTGGTTGGATTAAATTGATAAATGCTAACATTGGCTCGTGACGTTGATTCCACTGGCACAGTGACACACATCCCACTTCCCGATCTGCGGGACCTACATTCTAACGGTCACCAACCCCACCAACCAACACCCACCGCACTCCCCGACTCACTCTCTCACCCCCCCAAAAGCACTCACAAGTCTTCAAAGCTTGTCTGCAATGGCGCTTCGCAGGCTCTCGAGCTCGATCAACAAGAAGCTGCCCTTTCAACCTTTCTTCAATGGCGGCTCCATATACCACATGGTACGTCACTTCTTCAATCAATCAAATCCATGCTTGTGTAGTTTCGATTTCCACCCGCCCAATTTTTGATATCCGTCGTCGTTTTGATTGCAGTCCTCTCTGGCCAGCCAAGCTGCTCACGACAAAGAGAAAGCTCGCGCCACTGTATGTCCTTTCCTATTCACAATTTTATAATTTATTGGCTTCTTCTGGATCTGGATTTGTGTTGTGTTTGATTGTATTGATTCTGTGGAAAAATATCATTTGGATTCAGTGGATTAAGCAGTTGAATGAGCCGCTTGAGGCTGTCGATCCTGAGATTGCCGATATCATCGAGCTCGAAAAAGCTCGGCAATGGAAGGTATATTTGATTTGATTTGTGGGAATATAATTGTAATAGAATGTAAAATTTTCGTTTGCTTGCGTGGTGATGAATGTGATATGCCTTAAATCGGGTTAAGTCTGGCAAGAAAATATTACTCACAATGCAATGTTGAGCATGAGAGTTTAGTTAATGATCAGGGAGTTCATATTTCTTTAATTTCTGTTTTTATTGTTTTTAGAATTTGTTTGTTAATTTTTAGTTTATCGTAGGGGCTCGAGCTTATACCATCAGAAAATTTCACATCACTTTCCGTGATGCAAGCTGTTGGGTCCGTCATGACCAACAAGTACAGTGAAGGGTGCTAGATACTATGGAGGAACTGAGTAAGTAGTTCCCCAGTGAATATTATGAGCATTTTTGCACTCCTATATTTCCAACTATTAAGTTGAAATGCAGTTTTTCTTCAGTTTTATCTTTTCTAAAATGTTATTTGGGGGCGGGATGGTTTGGTTAAAACCCTGCCATTTGGGGGCTGTGAGGTGGTTATGAGCTTTATAAAACATGTTCTTGCCTTTTTTTTTCACATTCGTCTAGTATTTTGTTTTAAGGAATTATGCGTGATTGATATTTTTCTTTAATAAAACATGTGGCATTGCCAACTATTTCCATCAGTTCAACGTAGGATTTCACATTTGTGTTTGTGTTCATTTACATTCTACAAGTTATGAATGATGTCTAGCACCCAACAAGTTCAGACTTTCAAATTATTTGGTAGGGAGGGTTTTGCTGTTAAATATTTGCTACAAAGAAAAATGATTGGGCACACTTTGAGTTGATTCTATCTAGTGAGTGATTTTCATTGAACACAATACCCTTTCAATAATATGGCACAATATATTTCATGTTGAAGTATAATTTTTTTCTTTTGTGAATTGCAATTGCATCGCGTAGTGAATATTTTTTTCTTTTGTGAATTGCATCGTGTACGAGGCATAAAGGCAGCACGCTATTTCAGATTAACTTATTTTCTTCAAGATTTTGAATTTGGGATGTAATATTTTGTAAAATCCGGCTTTGGGATTAGATGGCATTAGAATAGCATTATTATACTTAATTAGATTGTTGAAAATGGGACTCAAAGAATTAAAAATCTTTTATATTGTCTAAACATGTCAACCATTGCTTTATAAATGCGTGGTTCAAAGAGTATTTGTGTCAAAGTAAAGTTTTATTCTCGGCTTCATCTATTGCTTTTGTAACTCATGTTCATTCTATTATTGAACTATTCATGTATTTAGTAATATATATCTTACATACTTAGTTTAGGGTCCTGCTACAATGGTACATACCACTCAGTGGTACGAGTTTTATGCAAGACCTAACCGTTGCAAAGATCCATTAGATCCCTTTATGGAAGATCTAACTGCTGGTTTTCCAGACCACTCAGTGGTACGTACCATGGAAGAAGAATTGCTTATTTTATTAATGATACTTTACTGTATTCTTTCAGTGAATGTGCAGCCACTATTTGGATCCCCTGCAAACTTCCAAGCTTACACTGCATTGTTGAAACCTCATGAAAGAATCATGGCACTTGATCTACCTCACGGCGGACATCTTTCTCATGGTTATCAGGTGTCTACCTTGCTGTTGATTGTTTTTTCCAGATTATACTTGGCTATACTTTTGTGCTTTTTGTGGTTAACAATGACAGCCTGTGTAGCTCTCAGTTAGTCTAGTGCCTCTGGGTTGTTTTGTTTTTCTTCCTTTTCTCGTTTCCTGTTATGTGTAAATTAAACCTAGTACTGTCTTTACAGAATAATTTCTCTGAATATCCAGTGAGTACATAAACTGGAACCCCTTTCTATGTATATTTATGTAATATTAATTATTTTGAGAATGAAATTGTGTTGCGTATTTCAAGCAATCTAGATATTCAAAACTACACAGAACAAGTGAACCTATATTTTGTTCTGGTGATTTTACATGCTTCTGATGTCTGGATGTCGCATATCATTTTGGGTTGTAAAAACATAAATGTAATGCTGCCTGTCTGTATACTAAATGACACAAACATTTCACCATTTTGCAGAATGACACCAAAAAGATATCTGCTGTGTCGATATTTTTTGAGACAATGCCATACAGAATGAGAGCACTGGCTACATTGATTATGATCAGGTGACTTGCTCATCCCCATCTTCAGTGTTCTGAATTCTCTTATTTGTAAGCACATTTAAGAGTCCATCTTACCTGTGTCCTGCAAACATTATTAGCAAAACATTATTATTTTGGTTCAGCCTCAGAAATAGGATGAAATGGGGCGCAATGGGGTTCTGTCTTACTTGTTTCCTGCAGATATTATTAGCAAAACTGCAAAAATAATGTTTCAAGTGAATCATTCTGATGATAGTAACATGAAAGATAACCATGCGAAGAAACTTCCCCAGGGCCGCAGTTTAGTTATCATCACATGGATGGCAGTTGACATTATTTGAAATCAGAAAGTGTATCCTTGACTCGTCCTGGGAAATACAGAACTTTGTTAGCCTAAAAGTCACTGTATGTCTTGAACTGAGATATTTTTTGGCATGACTTCTTAATTGTTTTGGAGGTTGAGTTCCTATAGTTTTAAGCAAATACCGTATTTTATCTGCCATTCTTTGGTAATTAAAGGCTGACCTATGTGAATAAATATGTCCACAGATGGAGAAAAGTGCCACACTTTTCAGGCCAAAGCTAATGGTTGCTGGTGCTAGTGCTTATGCACGCCTGTACGATTATGAGCGTATCCGCAAGATAAATTTTGGCTTGAGTTTTGTGATTACGATAATCAGCCTCATGCATCTCTGAAATTCTTATGGCACTCAATCATTAAGTGAGATGTTATTCTTTGTGGTGTCGTGATGTCGTCAGGTCTGT